CAGACATAAACACAAGACATGACCTGAGCCTGATAAGCATCTCATAAATTATGGCAAAGATGTGTACTGACCTGGACTGAATTGAACATTTGGTAATTAACTCTAAACACAACATACAGCCAAGAGGAGCTGACTGACAGACTGACACTGCGATCCAGAGACATTTGTAAGTGTTCTCTGGTAGATAAATTATGTAACTGCAGTACTGCTTCTAAAGTATCACAAACATTTGGCGTTTCTCTACTGTTATTTCATAAACTGATTTAGATGCAATAAGCTAACATGGGACTATAAATCTGGCTGTAACTCAGTGTCCAAAGAGAGTTTAGGCAACAGTTCTGATTGCTTAGTTGATTCCATTTTTCCATCCATTATCTATACTGCTTATTCCTGACTAGGGTTGTGGCGGGGACAATAAAGTTATGGTTGTGAATGTGCAAGAGCTGTTTCTACAAGTCTCACACTATACAATAGTGTATTAAATAGAGGCTCTGTTACATCACAGCCAAATATGGAAATTTGATGGTTTTGAGGACAGATTTGAGTAAATTCTACCCCACAGTTTCCAAAACAAGACATCTAGAATATTTACATTTGGTGTAATGGTGCATCCATAAAAACATGAAGCCTTGGGTTTAAATATTAAACATCAAGAGCTGGAAAAAGCTATTAGAAAAAGCATGAAAGCATATTATATACAAAGACTTATACTAATGGCTTATGAAGAAAAGAAATTTGGCTTTTAATTTGAATATAGCCAGAGTACACTATGTATGAACTTTATCAGGTACTGTATCAAAAACTGTGATTCAACAAAAAAATAAGACAAGATTCACAAATAGCAGCCAGTGAATTTAAAAGAGCAAAGTGTCGTAGGCAGGAAATGTTACAGAGTATGCAATATAACTACAAACACACTTATTACTTATTACTGTGATCTGCACAAATCCAAACAAGTCTGCTCCTAGATTAAATGATTTAAAATGGTGCTGGCCAACATTTGGGGGCACAAAAAAATACCTCTACAGAAGGACCACATAACAAAAAACCACATCACAAATATTCAGTAACAATTGATTTGATTTTGATTTTGATTTTGATTTATTCTTTCAAACATGCAGAACAAATGACATCAACACACACATAATTACACAAATCCAACCAATGCTAATCCAGAATCAGTTTGCTTATACCAGCACATGTTTGAATGGAGTAGGAAGAAGTCAGACTTATCCAGTCCTACCCCAGATCATCATCTTATACAAAAAATTTCATGCATCATTGGCTGCAAGCAGTATCTCTACATAGTTAATTCTCTTCTTCACCAACAAGTAATACACAGAAAACTTAAAACAGAGTGTTTCCTTCATGCATTCTTGATTAAATCTCTAATTCTTGCATATATCTTGAATGATACATACATTTATATTTATATTTAAACTCCTCAGTTCTAGTACTGTTTTTCATGTCCACACTTAAACAATCACATACATTAGCCAAAAAGGTTTCAATTATAAAAGACAGTGCAACATTAAAAGACAAATACAGTAGATAGAAAACACAGAAAAGACAAAAGATGCAGAAATAATAATACATTAGTTCCCCCAAACAGCAGAATCTCTAGAGTGCAGTCAAGCTGATTAGACTTTTTCACCAAATATTTTCCTGTGAGTGAATCTGGATATAATTAGCCAAAGGCCAACTGGGCAAAACAGTAAGGGTTATGTAAAGAAATGCAATGATGTCATGTAGGAAAAGTCAAGCAGAGTGCAACATGGAAGGACACTGCTATGAGTCTTCGTTCTGGCCATTTGCTGCTTACTCACACAGATGCTCACTCTCGCAAGAATTTCACTGCTTTGTCTGACTGCGAGTTTGTATGCACTCTGGGTCACTGTCAGTAATACACATAGTGGAGTATAAATTTGCACACAAAGGATTCTTGTCATCTACCTCCTGTGTCTCAAACATGTCCTTATATGGTCAGAGCGATCAATACTCAACACATGTTTCATTGCAAGTCATCTTCAAAACATTCCTGCCCTCTCTGCTCCTACTAGAGACACAAAACAGAGGGCTGGGAGTTCCTGCTCATCTCTTCCAGCTATATTTCTCTCTTACTGCAGCTCCAGCTCTCTCATACTAAGCTCTCAACCTACTGGGTAAGGATACTGTCTCTGGAAGCCCTTTAAACCCCAACCTAAGCCACTATTCATGGTTGGATTTTCCTCTCAGTCTAGCTCACAATAAGCCAAGCACTATTGCAGCTTCATAAGGAGGAAAGTTCTGTGAAGATGTCATATTCATCCCCCAAAGCTGCCCTGAGGGACAGTAGTGTTTGGGTTCAGCTCCACTGCCTGAGCTAATGTGGATCTGATTCCCCGCTCCAGTGGTTTGTTGCCAGCCACCTGCTGATTCTACTGGTTTGCATGGACTGCCTGAAGCCCAGACCTAACCTACATAGGCAACATGTCCCTCTTACTGAACTGTGCTCAAACACACACAAATGCACATGCAAACAGCACAGCACAATGGCATTTACCTCCCAACCAGAACAAGCTAGTCAAGTTAATGCAATCCTAAAAACTGCATCTCAAACAGAAAAACACTCACTAAGAGGATTTATTTCTTCAAAAAGATATAGAATATTAAATAAAGTGTGTGTGTGTGATGATAAAAAATTCCCTATTTGGATTATTTTTCCTCCTTCTCAGTGCTGTGTGATGGTATTTTTAATGCCAATATCCTCTTTCCTCCCGTGTTTAGTTTTCTAATTCCCTAAAAAGCCAAACTTGACAGCAACCTCACTTTAGCACTGAGCTCTGCATTCAGTGTGTGTTTACATGAGCTGAAAGAAGCAACAGATCAAATAAAGAACATATTGATTGCCTGAGTTCAGAGAGGAACACTCATTTTAATTAAGGCATTTATTATGTCACTCCTTTCACAGTTTTCCTCTGCACGTCAAGAACTAATACTATTTTATTTTAAAAAATAAATTGGACTACTCATTTGAAAGCATTTATTGTAAACACATAATGTCTTCTTTTCTCTCCCCTTATTTTCCCCTTCTCCCCCTCTTTACTTTCTCCAGAGTCTGTGAACAGGTGAGAGAAGGACACTGTCTGCCCCACTGTCCAGCGACACCATGAGCTGGAGCTTCCTCACGCGGCTGCTGGAGGAGATCCACAACCACTCCACCTTCGTGGGGAAGCTGTGGCTCACCGTGCTCATCGTCTTCCGCATCGTTCTCACTGCTGTTGGGGGAGAGTCCATCTATTACGATGAACAAAGCAAGTTTGTCTGCAATTCGGGTCAGCCTGGTTGTGAGAATGTCTGCTACGATGCCTTCGCCCCTCTATCGCATGTACGCTTCTGGGTCTTCCAGATCATCTTGGTGGCAATGCCTTCTCTCATGTACATGGGCTATGCGGTCAACAAGATTACACGGTTGGAGGAAGCCAAAGGAGGAGGTGGATCTGCTGGGGTCAGAGCAGGAGGAGGGGACTACATGCACAGGAAACCCAGAAAAATTTGCTTTGGAGCACGACAGCACCGGGGAATCGAGGAGACTGAAGAGGACCAGGAGGATGATCCCATGATCTATGAGGTGCCAGAGATTGAGCCACCAAAAAGACCACGGGATCCCCTGCAGCCCACACCCAGACCAAAGATCCGGCATGATGGGCGCAAGCGCATTCGAGATGAGGGACTGATGCGAGTCTATGTGTTGCAGCTGGTGACTCGTACGGTGCTAGAAGCAGGCTTTCTTGCAGGCCAGTACTTGCTGTATGGGTTCCATGTGACTCCAGTGTTCGTATGCTCGGGGAAACCTTGTCCCCACAATGTTGACTGCTTTGTGTCTCGGCCTACAGAGAAGACCATCTTCCTGCGCATCATGTATGGTGTCACCATCCTCTGCCTCACGCTCAACATTTGGGAGATGATCCATTTAGGGATTGGTTCTATCTGTGACATTCTTCGCCATCGGCACCTCCCTCCTCAGGATGATGAATACCAGTTGGGCTTGCTAGGCACCAGCGCAGGTGTGGAGGGTTCTGTAGGGGGCACGGGGCCAGAAGCAGGTTCTGAGGGAGGGGTGGGTGGAGATGAGGCTGCAGATTATGTGGGTTACCCTTTCTCATGGAACACCCCATCAGCTCCACCTGGCTACAACATTGTGGTCAAACCTGAGCAAATGCCTTACACAGACCTTAGCAACGCCAAGATGGCGTGTAAGCAGAACCGGGCAAACATTGCCCAAGAGGAGCAGCAGCAGTTTGGTAGCAATGAGGATAATTTTCCCACTGGAGGGGAGCCCCGTGTGGCTCTGAATAAAGACCTGATCCAACAAGCTCAAGAGCAACTGGAGGCAGCCATCCAGGCCTACAGTCAGCAGCATCAGACAGAGGAGCAGCTTGGCGACAACCAGGATGACAAGCCTCAAAGTAACATCATTCAGGCCCAACCTCAGCTGCAGCCACAGCCTCAGAAAGACCGCAAGCATAAATTCAAACATGGGAAAGGAGGCAGCAGTGGAGGAGGCAGCAGCAGCAACAGCAGCAGCAGCAAATCAGGAGAGTGCAAGCCTTCTGTATGGATTTAAGCCCAGAAGTATAGACAAGTTCTGAAACCATGTATATATTAGAGATTGAATGACAAGCTTTTGCAATCTTTTTTTGATATTTAAAACCACTGTGCCTTAAAGAATCCTCCAAGATGGAGAAGATGTGTGTTTGTGTAATAAGGTGTGTAAAACAAAAATGTGATGTTGCAGCTGACAATTTGTTTTGTCAGGGCTTTCACTAACTTGAAATATCATACCAACACAAACTATATTATATTAGAGTCTGCCGTTTACATCTCATTCTCCTCAAGTCCTAAAGCTAATTACTGACCTCTGTTGTCTTCCCAGTCATCAGTTATTAGGGATTTGAGCTTTGGAAAATTACTGAATGATAATGAGTTCTGTTGCAAATCAGATTGAACCCAGATTTGGCTTAGCTCATTTTCTGGCCACTCCTCTGCAAAGACACTGACTCTAGCAATAGACTGGCATCCTAATTCTTGTGATATCAAAATGAAGTATCAACACAAAACAAAGGCAAAGGGATGCCATGTCATCACCACGCTCTAACAAGCTAAAGAAATGAATACTCTAAAATGACACATTATTCAATGGCAGCACCTAATGCAGTGAGAACATCACCTTCCTGGAGGCTGTGTCCTGTGTCCATCATGATCTTTGTCTGCTTTCCCTCCATCATCGATCACAGTGTTATGTTGCTGGATCTTTGTCTGCTTTCCCTCCATCATCAGTGTTATGTTGCTATGACTTTACATTCGACAGTGTGTTTGTATGTGCTTCCTGAGTGTTTTTTGATAACAGTGCTGCACCAGCTGCTACTCAGGAGTCAGTGAGTACAGCAGGTGGCTTCAGTCGACATCAGAGATATTCTGAGAGAAAATGTTTCTTTCAACAAAGTGCATAAGCAATCCAGTTCCAACTTCAACTTCCTAGTTTCTCTTTGACTCTTCATGGCTACTAAACAAGGCTGCTCAGTACTTCCTTGTGATGGCCTGCCCTCTGGTGGTTTCTTCTACTGGCCTTCTTTCACTGGGGATTAGTTACCAGTTGCCAATGCTACCTGCATCCAGCAACACCTTAACCAGCTCTAGTGTTACTTTTCTATTGATAAGCCTTGTATTATTTAGAGTAAGTCTTCCCAGAACTGCAAGTTTGGTGTTAGATGCACAAGGCTGCAATATCACCCCCTTGTACTGGAAAAGGTTTAAAGCCATTGCTATAATATAGTGAGACCAAACACTGTTTGTGGGATGCAAGTGTCAGTGCCAAGACTTTAATCCTAGGCTGCTTTGAAGCCTGGTTGGTTGTAGCTTTGGAATACTGTGGCCATGCTACTCCAGGTGTGGAAATATGCCTGTGTGAGACAAACCCTTTTCTAAAAGTCACTTGTTTTTTGCATTACGTTATTGCTTTTTCTTTACAGAAAAAAATAGTGAACTCCAAAATGGAGTGTTTTTTAATTTTCAAACCAGTGTTTTATATGAATGTGCTTTTTTTTTTGTTAAATTATGTCTTTTGTAAAATAAATAAAAAGAAAAGAAATTCTTTTGAAAATGGATTAGTTGTATCAATATTCATGGTTATTGTGTTTAAAACTGCCTTCAAATTGTAAAAAACAACAACAAGTGAAATAAGAGTATATTTTTATAATATGTCAGCTACAGTGACTTAAGGGTACAGAGAAAAAAAGCCAGACTTTTTTTTGTATGTTACAGTATCAGTATTTAATGTATGTAACAAACCTCTGCGCTGTATTTAAATTTACAATGTCACCCTTTTTCCAACATTGTTTTGTGATCTGCTGTGTGCTGAGACCAACCTGCTAATGGAACCAGTTGGGGAAAGGAGAAAGTGCTAAAAAGAATTCAAACCATTCCCAGCTTTGCTTCCTAGCATCTGTCCAGACAAGCAACAGTTCTGATTGCTTACTTGATTCCATCTATCCATACCGCTTGCATAGATAGATAGATAGATAGATAGATAGATAGATAGATAGAAAGAAAGAAGCTAGAGTATCCGGAGAGAACCCACACAGGCACAGGGAGAACATACAAACTCCACCCAGAAGGTTCGAACCTGGAACCTCATTGCTGTGATGCAATAACAACCACTGCACTGATTCATAATGCTAAATTAGGAGGAAGGGTAAATCTGAAAAGCTGGCATGTGCTTTTCTTGATTTAATACATTTCATGTGAAAGATCAGCATCTTTCCCTGAGTAGAGAACTAGCTGAACAGTCCATCACTGTGAGAAGTTGTGAGGCTGTGCATTGTGCCGTGGCTTCCTTCGCATTAACATAGTGTTAAATACAACCGTGTGCTCAAGTAGAAAGACTCTCTCTGACTGGTTTGTTTACCAGCAGGCACCACATGTCTGTTGAACAGCAGCAGACCAGATGTAAGTCTTCGGATGTCAGCCACTCCTCAGAGCAGTGATTGACACTGGCTCCACCGATGCTGCTTGCATCCCAAACAAGCCTCAGGTGATTTGCTGAGCATTTCTATGTCAGTGTCAGTCTCTTCCCCTGGAGGCCAATCATCCTTCATCAAATCCTTCCTCAGTTAACAAAGTTTCTCAACTAAAGAATTTACTGCTGTTTGGATAGAAGGCAACAAACTGTAGTATTACATAATGAGTTACAAACTTTGCAGTTATAGACAGCTGGAGCCACTAGAGGGTGACTTCCTGTCAAAGGTAAAAGAACTTCAGGGCTTAAGGAAGCGGTGCTTTGAGGAGGTGCCGAGAGGGCACCTTACATCTTCAGAAGAAAGAGAGTGTGTTCACCAGACAGGGAGGTTATTCTCCTCTGAACAGTGCCACTGTCTTTGAAAATCACGTGTCACCAAAATGTCACTAAAGAAACACTAAAAGCAAACACAAGGCAAACCAAAGAAAAATGTTCCCTGTCTGATTTGATTCTGATAGTCTTATAGTTTTACATTAAGTGTAAGTTCTGAGCCTTGACAATATGCATCTGTGAAACAATAAATAAGGGTGTTCACAGTTTGACTACATGTCTGTGTTTCCTTATGAATGTTTAAAACATAAATATATTTATCCCTCATACCCGCCAACTGAAAGAATGAGGATAAGTGAAAAAAGAAAGTTCTTCTTCAAAAGTGAAGGTGTGATGCTGTTGTTCACAGGTACAGCAGGGCTGGTGTAAGCAGCATGCATTAGGTTAACAGTGTTGGAGCAAAGGTATCATCTGTGGCACAGGCAATTATACCTTTGTGATTTATCTCTGCACTGTGTGTTAACACAGTCTGAGAATTCAAACCAGTTGGATTGTGGGTCTATTCATCAGGGATACCGCAATGCCCGTTCACAGCATCTGTCTGTCTATGTAAACCACTGTCTGTGTTCAAAAGATACTGCAGACTGCAGCCAGGCTGTGTTGTTTCCTTACATGTTTCTTATAGTCACCCATGTGAGGGGTGACAATAAAACCAGTGTTATAACCAGTACAAACTCTGATTCATACATGTGTTTGTGTTTGCGTTTTGTAAAATGTATCTTTCTTTGAGTGCTATTCTGGCATCCTCTGAAAAAGATTCTTCTCATATTCTTTAAGAAATACATTTGATTTGCATGTGAAAAGACCTATTTTCATACAAAAATAAAAAAGATTGAATTACAATAAGTCTCTGTATCTTTTGTTGTGGCTCCACAGCAGAACCAATAAAAATCAGGAAATAAAAGGCCTCTCACTCTTAGAATCATTGAGCATTGTCCTATTCCTGTTGTTAGTATGACATCTAGTCAGTCTCTGCAGTCGAAGAGAATTGCAGTCATGTGTGCTGATGCTATGTCACTGGCAAGAACAACACAGGAAACCAAAAGAGAAGTCGCTCGTGTCACTTTGTTTGTTTGCAGAACTTCAGCTTCTGATGTGAAAACATCTGAAGATTTTGATTCAAATAGCCATTGGTTTATTAAAACAACACTTTTTCACTGAACCATCAAAAATAGTCTGTAATCATTCAGTGCTGTATCAGTTGGATAGTTAAAATATGAATATGAAGATTAACATGCTTGAAGCATTTTAAAATATTACTTAGGAGGATATTTGCTACCCTTTTGCAGTTCTCTTTTTCTTTTTTTGGGTGCCAAACAGTGAATTTCTATGTATTATTAAAGAGTCAAAATGAGGGTTTGCACTGGAAGTTGCCTGTTGAGTCTTGTCCAATATGTGTTTTAAGGCGTTCCCATTAAGGAATGCAAATTAAGGGAGGGCAGAATGGACATTTATACAAATAACTTAAGCAACAATTTCCCACCATTGCAGCAGAGTGAATTGTGACTGAAATAAATTCAATTGCAGCACTGCTGTCAAAATGGCAGCTGTTATTCATTATGAAAAGTGATTAGTATTTGAGGAAAGAGAGTGGCCTGGGAACACCTTGGCATTCCCCTGGAGGAGCTGGAGGAAGTGTCTGGAGAGAGGGAAGTCTGGGCATCTTTGCTTAGACTGCTGCCCCCGCGACCCGGTTCCGGATAAGCGGAGGAAAATGGATGGATGGATGGAGTGTGTGTAAATCGTATCTCTCTAGTGGAATTTTTCCAGGCTTTTAGGTCACACCATACTTCAATTACTAACTGAAATGAAAGGCTATTTGACAGTTCCTAGTACATGCATTCAAGTTACCAGTGCTGCAGCTGTGTTGATTCACACTATCAGTGTTGGTAAGAACGCTACTAAAGTGAAAAATTGTAGTGACACAATTTACAACATGTTTAGTAATCATCCCCCCAAATCGGGCAAACTGAGATGCCTGTTTGGACAAATTAATTCTCCTCACACCAAAGATGACACATGCAGACATTCTGGCTACCTGAAACATCACATACAGTAGGAGCAAGGTCATGTTGAAATTATGCATACACTGTGTTGTAAAGAAGTGTCTCAGATGTCTAAACTATTCTTGGTGTTTAACCAGGATATATGACCACCAGTTTTTACATGGAATACATACAGTATAGAATGAAATTACCAACCTAGAAATAACTTTCTAATAAATATTTCTCTTAAAGTTTCACACAGATTTATCAAGTTTGTAGATCATCATTCTATGTCACTGTCAGTATGAAATGCAGACTTCCAGTTCCCCAACACCCACCCAGTCTTGATGTTTCTAAGAAAAAGCTTACCAAATGCTTGTCAGGAATACTTTTCAGCCAAAGTTCACAGTTCACAATCATTACATCACCTGATACCAGAGTCAGTTACATCTGCACTCATTTAACATTTACATCAAGTTAAAGCATTTCTCTCCAAACTAATATTGTGCTAATATGTTGCCACTTTGTGACAGTACCAGTATCTCTGTGGTCACTGTGGTGATGAGGGGAAGTACATTGCAACACGAACTCACCATAACAACCTTTGTGAGCAGAGACACCCTTGATGTGTTTACTAGTGTTATATAACTCCTGTTGCCTTGCGTGGTGCCTCTGCTCAGTCCTTTGCTGAGCAGGTCTCACTGAGGGCCATCTGACAACCACAGCCCAGAGAACACGGTCATGGTGGATTGTATCTGAGGATACTGCGAAATGACCCTTTATCTATATCACATCCAGCGGTGTCAGGGTGATGGCGTAAATACAGAAATCACCTGCTTTTTACAGCTGTTGTGTAATTAAAGTGAGTGAGAACTACATATATCAGACTTCCAAAGCAGTTAAATGTGTGACATGCTTGTCATTGTCAGAAAATTTCATATATTCAGTGTGCTGGTGTTTTCTTTAAATGCTTGTTTAAAGGAGGTATTTGATTTTCTTCAAAATACATTCACTTTGATTTAGAAGTTCACACGGTCAGTTATATAATGGTTATTAGTAATCGATTAAGGCACTCCAATGTAGACTCTCACAAAGGCCTCATAGAGGCTTCCCAGCTTCCAAGATGATTCCCTCCAGACTCTAGCTGTAACATTTGTGGAAATAAGTACAGTTGTAGATACATTGTAAGACTGTTGCGCAGAGTGTTTACAGTCTTGTGACTTTTGATTTTAAGGCACATGGCTGCCTAAAGTCCAGGCATCCACCCTGCTTTGACGAACTTAATCCATGTGATCAGCCAAAATGCAACTGTCGTGTCATGTAAAAGTACGTGAAATAAGTGACTGGCTTTATCCTGAAGCCAAAGAAAAGGCACTTTGCTCCTGTGCTGGCAGCTCTCCTCGCGCCTGACAGCTACTTTTCACCTGGTCAACAATCTCCCAGGTGAAGCCTGAGCACCCCCTGACTGTGCAGCTGCAACAAGAAGTCAAACTCAGCTGGCATGGTGTGGAATTTTGTTTTAGGTTTTCTGTCATCATAATAGTGGTTAGTCAGTGCATGATGGCTATGTGGGTGATTACTGAAGGGCCAGAACCCATACAGGTTCACGTTGGCACAGAGTTCCAGTGCTAGGCTAGCCATGATTATGCCTGTGCTTAGCCGAGCTTCTTTGAGGCCTTGGGAGCGCCAGAAGATGGACAGATTCTGGAGGTACTCAGGATTGAAGAAGACAGGCCGAATAGAGCTTTTAAAGTCCTCAATTGTGAAGACAGCCCGCAGGGACACAGGAGTATTGTGACCATAGGAGAAGGCAGGAAGGAGCAGCAAGGAGTTGCCATAGGTGCGAAGACCCTCCACGAACGGACGCCGACGCCCATTTAGAGCCCCATACCTATAAATAAACAGCAGCTGTGAAGCAACAAGACAAAAGGAACATTTTGGAATAACATTGAGAACCATCTATTTTCCCTTCTCACTTCTCCACCAGGATGCTTGGGTTTGCTGTCACCAGGTCAGTCTTGATGCCCACATGTTTCTCATAGCCGTTTCCCAAAGGAGGTAGGTTGCACCTAAACAAACAACAAAGAAAATCCACAGATCATTATATGGAATATCAACAGAGGAAAGTTTTTCTTTTGATTATTTCTGTCATCAGTTTGCAGTCCACTCTCACCTGATGATAAACTGTGCTGAATCAATTATGTTTCCACAGCTGCTGTTGGTCAGGATTCCTCCATTCCCAACAACAGCGCACGTGTTCAATGTTTTATTTGAGAACGGATGCTCCTGGAATAAACAGTGATGGAAAATGCCTTTTAAAATGACATTATTGCTGATTAAAAGATACTATATAAAAGACAAAAACGGAGATTAACCTAAATTATAGATACGTTTTGACTGTTGGCAAAAAATGAGGAAACTGTTGATCTTTTTTTGTAATTAAAGATGTTAAAGATTCACCAGTTGTTCCCTCTAGATTCAGGCAAAAGAAGGTTACAGTTCTCAGTCACATTTGGCAAAGCCCTTAAAACAAGACAGGGGTTGTCATCTTGTTATGACACAGTTGGTCTAGAAAGGCTGACTTCAGGGCCTGTGTGAGCACAGATTTACCTTCTTTATCTCAGACATTAGACCATCTCAGACTGGCTCAGTGGCAGAGCCTCTGTTCTTAAATAAAGATGTTTTGAGCTATTACAATTTGTACAGTAATCATGAAAATGGAAATGACCTAAAATATACAGTATATACTCTCTGAATACACTAAAATGGATGTGACTCAGTAGTTTGGTGTTTTACTGCTTCACTCTCCAAGTCTGGTTGCATGTGCCTCAAGAGACAGGGCATGCCTCCCTACAGAACACTGTGTGTAGTGTTAAACTATAGCAACTATCTGAATGGCACATTATGAGAAAGCACATATTTGAGATGCCAGTATTCAAAAGAGAAATCAAGTACTGTCAGCCTGCGGTAACTGAGCATGTAGAGTGGCATGATGACTTCCTGAGTCTGAGCCATCAGGTTAAAAAAAAAACTCACTACCACATCAATGTAAAAAGAGTTGAGAGTTACTATACTATATGCTTATGCAGTATACTGACAAGAAAGATCTATGTCATGTAAAAAGAGACAATACAGTGTGTGATCTCCACAGAAACAGGGAGCTAACAATACCACTGACGAGAAGTTAATGGTGGTATTTTACTGAGAATCAGACTTCTCAGTGATTCTCCATTTGCAAAACAGGAAGCGAAGGAACTGGTGAGCAGCATGGCAGACATTTACAGTCAACAGATTACAGGGGTTTGACATTTTCCCTTCTGTTTTCAAAAGGCTGCAACCAATTTTATTTATTCCATGTGAAGAAAAAAACATCTCAATACATCATAAATTGACTTTTGTTTCTCTGCACATCCTGTGAACTTTGTCATTTTAAGATCTTGTGTATTGCAGTGTAGTCAGAGCAGCATGGCTCTAGGGTTGGAATATAGGGATGGGCAATGATTTTCAAATAGTCATTAAATTTAAGTAAACTCAAATATTACATGCGACTATGGTTTTGTCTTTAAAAACAAAGAGCCACTGTTTTCCCTTGCTTTTACCAGCATCTGGAAATCACCATCAGTTTGATTGCATTTGTTCAGCCAGAGTAAAGGGTCCCATCAAGAAAAACTGTCACGTCACAACTGGATAAACTGTATGATGATAATGCATGTGAGCTGCATAGTCGTTTGACAAGTGTTGAAAAGGTCTCTGACCATGGATGCATGGACAGAGCTTACAACTGAATCCTGTGTGACAGTAGCCTGCCCTTATATAAGCAACTGGAAACTACATAGTGCTGTTCTTCAGACTAAAGAAATGCCAGAGTGTCCTGCTGCAGAAAACGTGGTGAAGGTGCTTTTCATTGCCGCGGTACACCAGGGACTTATAGGTAAAGTCACAGCACATGTATATGATAATGCTAGCAATATGGTGCTATCGGTGCGGTTGATCTTCAAATAACTACTTTGCTGCTGAAGCTGTTTTCTTTTGTTTGATAAGAAAGCAGTGAATGATGTGAAATTGGACAGGTTCTTCTGTCAGTAATAAGATGGCTGAGATGTATAAAGTTGCAGTCAAAGTCAAGATACAAGATTTTTTTTCTCCAGTGGAGCCAATTCCAAATAAGCAGAAAGGAAAAACGTAAAGTTCTCTGTGGCTCATAGTCTAATTCATAACTTTGTTTTGCATAGTTATCTTTATTATTAAATTACCTACATTGTTACATGTATTATTGCTTTACATTTTTAGTTTTTATCAATAAATCATAGTGTGTAATGTTTCAGTCTCAACTGGTTGCATTTCGGTGGTCAACAAGACAGTCAGAAATGATTTCTTGGGTTTTGATTGATTCTTATAGTTCTATTTTAACAACTTTAAAAATGATGAGGTTAAAGTGGTTTATGGTGAACATTACTGATGTCACATTGTATTGTGTGAACCCAACATGATGGAGTAAATCTCAATGGTAGACATTTAGCTGCTAATCTAAGACTACAATGTTCTGCCTGGTGTTCATACAGTACAGTTGTACACAAAACAAATGTTAATAAAATTCATGAATGCATGAATGACAAACAACGTACCTTTGCAAAAATGCTGAAAATCTCAGGGGTCACCTTAAGAATCCTCTTTTTCTCCCCGTTGAACCTAAGCTCTTTTCCCACGGGTGTGTTGGCCTGGGTAATGATGGCCTTGTCAAAGCCATTGCACTTGCCATTCAGCTGAGATCTGGGGAACCACAGGGACTTTGTTTAATGTCATACAAGTCGGTCAGGACAGTTGATGCTGACCGACAGCTCAGTTATGGTGTTGAGCAGAAAGCTTTATTTGCTAAATAAGAGCTAACTGAAATGGTAGTTAGTTCAAGTAATTGATTTAAAAAGTTTCTACTTCATGTAGGGACTTTAGTCTGAGTCCATAGACAGATCTGTGAGGGGGAAACCAGTCCTAAGTCCCTCTATTTTGCCACAACTCTCTTGACCATCTGATTTGTTATATTTAGACCATGGCTAACAATAACATGCATGTTCCATGTTTTAATTCCTTTTCCTTCTATGTTTATAGTTCTTCTCTCTAGCTGTGTAAAGAAGGAAACAAATCCGGCATAGGTTTTGTTTTCAACCCTTGGTGTTTGGTTTAAGGTTATGCATCACGTTTATTTTGCTTCAGTAGTTTGTGACAGGTGTCTTAAGAAGTGGCTGGGTGATGTGGTTACCTGTGTTTATTTAAAGGAAAGTAGGCGCTCTGAATCTGATTCATACTTCAAATTTAAGATTTGCGGTCCTTTTATTGATTATATCAGAAACCGAATGGCTAATAGTGTAGTTGTGTATGATGATTTATATTGTGAAAATGCTTGGACAAATCCAGCCTTGATGGACATGAGAAGATTATTTTTACCTGAATTTTTGGTAATTGTCCTCTTGCTTCTTCCACGGTTGAGAGTAACGCTCTTTTACTTTGTCAATGACCTCCCTGTGACATACACATCCAAATACACAGTCAAGCCTGTAATTCCTGTAGCACTTGCACGACTTCATTTGATGAAAGTATAAACAAAGATGTTGCTTAGGGAAAAGCTGTGATCATGCTTGTTCTCACCTGCAGTTTTTACAAGGGTCAGAGGACTGAGGTGCACTTTTCTTTACAGGAGGTGATCTCTGAGGTTCCACATCACTGCAAAACAAACAAGACTGATGAGTAGAAAGCAGAAGCCAGAGTTAAATAAATATTTAATGTGTCTGAAAGTTTGTGGTGGTTGCGCTATTTCATCCAGTGGAGGAGAAGCAAAGAGCCGATACTTCACACTTTGACCCAGCCTTACAGGATAGCTACAGTGTTTCTGCTAAGGCTAAACTACCATTACTGGCCCCACTGAACTGATAGGCAGTCTAATCTGAATGCCACTCCAGTCAACATCTCACTGTGTCTGAATCCACTAGATTGGCAAAGAGCCACAAAAGTAATATATCACTAACCATTCTCTGGCTTGACACATCCTTAAACTCCCCTTGAATCCTACTCTCATACAAGCAAAGAGCCCATACTCATCTGCTTCATCAGGCTTTATCTATTAGGCTAACTTAAAATGGCTTCCCCAGCTGGATTGGTAAGTAGGTCCATTATTACTGTCAGGTTCTGCATTGAGGTACCTAACAGAAGGCCAATATTAGTCAGCTTTATACATCATGAGTGAGTAACCAGAGTAGGGACTCTGAGACTTTTGTTAATTTGCAACATTTCACCAGGGAACTTTGGCTTTTTGTGTTTGTGGTTGAGTGTTTCTTGAACAATAACGTCTTCTTCTGTTCCTGTTTTCAAGTTTCCAAAAAAAAAAAAGAACTTTGTGAGTCCACTGTACGATTCTCCCTGATTCCCAGTCTTTACACAGGTCTACAGCGTGTTCACCTGTAGGACTACAAACCCACAACAGCTCATATTTCACTTTCAATGACTCCTCAGGTTTCACTGTGAGAATTTCTGCTACACATTTACTACTTTTCCTGACATATAAGACTGTAATGGCAAAAGTGAGGATCAAGTTTTTAACAACAAAGTTGGAAAACCAATTGCTATGTCCTGAAGAAGTTTCATTTTTGAAACTATACTGCTTTATGCTTAGGGTGCAGATATAAATAATTCCATATGAAATGATATCGTCATAAAAAATGGCCACATAAAAGACTCTGTCACTCTTTATGTCTCAATGCCAAAGTCATTTCACACTAATTACACAGCCTCCACAGCTGGACTGAAAAGAGAGAGTGTGTGTGTGTGTGTGTGCTCTGTCTTGTTCGGGAAATGCAGTTACACACTTACTTGTGGCTGAGCATGTGCCAGATGGCGGTGGTCACCAGGCTCCCCAGAAAGAGAAGAGTGATCATCAAAGAGAAGAGTAACTTCGGGAGTTGTCCCCTCATACCTCTCCCTTCCTTCTAACTTCACCCACTACCCCTCTAAACTTCTGTCTCACTCTCTCCGACTCGCTTCACCTTGCTCAACAGTAATTTTTTCGTACATTTTATCCCTCCCTCAAGAGTGTTAATCTTTTGCCTTTTTGCTTTCTTGTTTTCTTTTACCACCTTCTCCACCCTTCCTCCTCTCCTGCTTGCACTCTTCCTGTCTCTCTGTTTGATTTGAGTTTCCTTGGGTGAGTCAGAGCATGCCTCCTTAGCTATTTCTACCTCTTGTTCAGACCAGTCCTCTGTCTTCTGTGCTCTTTTACTTTGTCTTTCCCTCTTCCTGTTTGTGTCCAGGCCAGCTGAGATGAAACCGATGTTTTGTTGCTCCACATCCTACTTCAGTCTTTGTCACGTCTTCCGTCCACCCTCAGTCTCTCCCTCTTTTTTCCTGTGCTCTCACAGAATCACAAAATAACAATCCTACTTTCCAGCATAGTCCCAAAGCTAGAGCTCCTTCTGTTCTCCGCCCCCAACCAAGCCTTTTCTCTCTGCTTTCCCCTCCCTCCCCCAGCTATCCTCCGCCCTCACCCCTTAAGCCCCTCTCTCCTTTGCTCAAAAAGGAGGCAGTAACATGAGTGCCCTGTACTGAATTAGCCCAGTTTGCCTCTTGACTAGTGTGTTTGTCAGGAAGCATGTTGAAAAGCAGTGAGGCGTTGGTCGGCTGGGGCACAGGCTTCTCATCCAATCACAGTGACTCTTAGTGCATCTCAAACTGTAGCCTATACACATGCATGCACAAGCTTTTTTTTTCCGGTGTCAAAATTTCTGCTGTATCGATTCATATCTTCAGACAAGAAAAACAACTATTTCTCAGTTTGCGAGGTAGAAAGGGTTTTGGGGTCCCCCATGAGCTGAGATGGGTGCCTGTTTATAACACGGCAGCACTGCTGGCTGGATCAACAGGGTAACTACAGAAACTAGAGAAGCAGAGAGTCCGAGGAAGTCAGACAGAGAGTCAGAGAGTAGAAGGAGGTGAGGATTTGGAGGCAATACATGAGGCAGTGACATAGCCAGTTTGTAATTTGGTCATAAATAGCAGAGTCCCTTGCCATTCCTTAAATTTGTCTGACATTTCTGGCATTGGCTCTTGAAGACAGAAGTTTCTGAATCTCGTGGTGTCTCCAGCTAGATATTTTTAGTGTCATCACCATGGGATATTTGCATTCTTCCGGGTTCACATCAGTCACATGATAGAATGACATCAACACACTCACTAGCTCCACGTGAATACTCCAGACTATATGCTGCTCTATTCTCACAGGGGCTCACTCCTGTTCACTTGGACCTTACACAGACTTTGTACTAGGGAGCTGGCAGAGTAAAGTCTGCTGAAGATCCAGTTCAACTGACTCAGACATTTGCGTTCTCATATACAGCTCCTCTGGGTAATGTCTATATAATTTCAGGGTACTAGTGCGTGTCTGAAAGGGGTTTAGTTTGGGGGTTTTCAACCCATGTGGTCTGTGAGGGTATTGCAGGCTGTCCTTGATTATGCATTCATTAATGATTATGAATAATCAAATTCATGCAAATATATAAAATTTAGAAAAGCCAAGGTGACTTTCAGGATTAAAACAGTGCTTGTCCAGGATAGCCTCCCCACAATAGTGGTTCAAAGGCTACTTCTTAGTCAGAATGGTGGTCTCTGGGTCACAAAACCCAGGTCTAATTCAAGCTTAATTTGTGCACGTCGTCACTAAACCTGAAAAGAAACTCTTTATGCAATGAAAGCAAAAAATGCACCTCTCTTCTTCACTGCACCAGCATTGCCCAGCATGGAAACTGTGATATTAATAAGGTTGGGGGCAATAACAAGAATAATTAGTTATACGGAGATACGGCAACAACCACCTCGCCTCTCTGATGGCCTGTTACAATAAACTATCCAGGTGTTTCCCTCATTACAGGCCATGCTGCTGCCTTCCGCAGTCACTCATTAGCTTATTACAGACAGTGCCATTTTCATCTATAAACTCCATAAGCTTTTTAACCACATTAAAGCAAAAGAAGTGATTTTTCAACATGACGTTCATAACACAGGAGATTTCTGAGCATTGTGTGGCTCTTGTGAGCCTGTAGGAAGCCTTCACTCTGTTTTACTCAGCATGGCTGAATTATGTTGGAATTAGATCTTAGTGATCGATGACTGCTTAATTAGAAGCCAAATTTTTCTGATTAAATTGTTATTCAGCAGAGGGAAGAGTTGGTACAGCCTTGACAAAATTCTGCACAGTCTACAAAATTCTGCAGGTAATAAAATTTGCTGCCTCTGCCTACAAGCACAAAAAATTGGCAGAGGATATGTGTATGCTCTTCAGTAAGTGTTCGAAGTGTGTGAAGTGGCAAAACTGCATTTACATATTTGCATAGCTCTGTGTGTGGTTGCATCCAGCAGCTCTTGACAGGAAGCCTGAGCACAGCATGCTTGAGGGTGGCAGACAATGGAGGACTGGGTGAGTGGCTGCAGAGGGGGCAGCAATGTATTTCCTCTAAAGAGCTAATGTGACATAATCACAAGTCAGACAGAAGGACAAAGGCCCAATTGTCACCCAGACAGCACCCTATAAATCTGTCCTCCCCCTCTTCCACCTTGTTCATTTGGCCTCTTTTTCCAGCAGGAGCATGGAGCTGCTGCTCTGTGTTTTCTCTAACACAGGTTGCAGAAATATCAGTGAGGTAAACTAGATGAGAAGCAGGATGTCAACTGTCTATCTCTGATCTGTAAGCAGTGAGGGCTTCCATGAAACTACACTGAGCTTCCTGTCAGACTTCCTGTTAGTTTATTGCATTTTTAAAAAATATTAAGGCAGACAAGGACAGAGATGCTGCACATAACCACAGACGAAACTGAACTTTCAGTTCCTTTCATTACCAACTCTCCATTTCTCTTTTACAAAGCCCTCAGGGCAGAATGAGACATTTCCACATGCAGTTTCACTCAGACTTGTTACCTATGAGTAACACTTAATTGCCCGTTTCTCAGTTGAATGACCAGCAGAGTCTACAACGGCCAAGACCTGTCATAGATAAACCACCTCAAGAGAGACAAGTCTTTAAAGGATCAGGCTGGTCATTTTCTATATTAACAATATTTTCAACAGTCCCCCATACAGAGACTAAAACCAGCAAAGATTTGCTTCCATTTATTGTTAATGTCTGTCAATCTGTTAATGCTTGATTAGCTTATTTGTCTGTACCATAGACCTCCATTAATGTTCGAAAATGATTAAAAACATCAGGGAAACACACTGCACAACACAACAGGACACAACAAATGACTACAGTACCTTCATCCTCTGCATATGTAACATTTCCATCTGGCCACTGAATCTTTTAAAACTACAGCCCATGTGACTGTATGATTACTTTAGTAGTGATGTAAAAGTTTAAGATGTACCTGGCTTAACTTTAAATCTTTAGATATATGTGACCATTTTGAGCATTTTTGGTCATTTCTCATTAGCCCATCTGATGAGGCTTGACTAGAAGGAGATTCATGCATAAGCTGTGGGACGTCTTGACCACCTGACAGAATAATTTTGTGGGTTTTCTCCAGCTGTGGGTCTTTAAATGGTCATCACCTTCCACCTCACTTGTGACAACTGTGGCAGGTGAATGGCTCAGCTGGGATGTGTGATGGAGGATGTGTGCCTGAGGGGGGCAGTAATGGGGTCATGTGGTTAAGGAACAGCTGAAACCTGTGCATTCGGCTGCTTAGCATGAGGCTTGGCTCCCTCGTGTCTGTCTGTTTGAAACACATTGCATCTATAGTCTGAACTATTACTGCTCTGCATGTTTCATAAGCTTTCACGCAACCAAATCACAAAACTGACAAATGATGTCAGCAGCACACAAACACACACACACTGTGCACAAATTATTCTGGGTATATGGCATGCACACAAATACTTTGAGGGGCACATGCATAATTTACACTTCCTGCCATGGCTGTAATGGACACGAGGGCCCCTCCATTCTCAAGTATTACAAATCAGTCCTTAATAGCTTGAATGGAGTAGATCATAGTTGCATGGGTGTAATATAAAGAATAGATTGAACACATTGTTGTGGCTTTTTTCAGTGTGTGATCAGTTTGCTTTATGACATGACACCCCAAAGTTTTTCACTCTTCAGGAACAAAAGTAATTAAAAGTAATTTCCTGCAGCATTATCTACATATTTCCACTCTCATAGGCTGTGACTGAAGGTGATACCAAGTTCAGTTAGATGCAAATTCACCAGTTAGATGAAGAGATGAAGTTTTGTCTTTAGCTTAGCTTAAGGGTTACATGATGGAAACAGCATCAAAACTACCACTGACCTGAAACAGGGCAACCTTTAAGAAGAGCTAACACTCGCTGTATCTGATGACAGTGAAATATGTGACCATCAGATACAAATCTGGTCAGAATCTTAAGTGAATTAAAAATTTGTCCAAGCACCCTCAAACCATACATTTGTAATACTAATGTGCAATACTCTTGGTTTTTATCCAATTGTTCATAACTATTATAACCACTAGATGGCAACAAATAAAAATTACAAACCTCAAAACCTATTTACACAGAGCTGGAAATATTTAAAAATACTTTATAGAGATTTAATGGTTCAATTGATCAAATTCCACAGGAATCTTATTTATTTCATTAATTAAAATATTCATTCACTGGAGGTCATATCAGTGATTGTTAAATGGAGTGTCATTCCTCAGAATGCAGGAAGTAAAATTAACTGGTTTGAATCCAGAGGTCTGAACATAATTTTGTGTGAACCGATAAAAAAACAAGCCTGAGCAATTTACCAGAGGTTGTGGGGGTCACGACTCAAAGATGGCACTTGAATGTGAGGTGGTATTACAAATTGCACAACATGCAGAAATATTCATTCTCAAGACAACAAGGCTGTGATCAAGGTGCACTTTCTGCTGGGAATTAAATATTACTTTTCCGAACTGTTTTTTCAAACAAAAAAAAGTACTTGTGTATTCTCCTGCCTAATTATTAACTTCTTAGGTCAGTTTTATAGTGCGATGGTTTTGA